TTTCTTTCTCTCTCTCTCCCTCTCTCTCTCTCTCTCTCTCTCTCTCTCTCTCTCTCTCTCTCTCTCTCTCTCTCTCTCTCTCTCTCTCTCTCTCTCTCTCTCTCTCTCTCTCTCTCTCTCTCTCTCTCTCTCTCTCTCTCTCTCTCTCTCTCTCTCTCTCTCTCTCTCTCTCTCTCTCTCTCTCTCTCTCCCCCCCCCCCCCCCAACCTACACGCATTTCCAATAAATTATTATAGGCTAATCATCCAAGTATTTCTAGCTCTGTTATTCAAGCTATCCTGACATCAACATAAAGAACAGTATCCCACAAAAGTAGTATTCCACAAAGGAAAAATGGCCTTTAAATAGTGCGAGGCCCGACCATTGCGCAAGTCGACCGTCTCCGTCCCTCGTTGCGCATGCGCGGCCGCAGCCAATCCCGTGCCTGGCTCCGCGCTCGCCCTCCCGCATTCAAACTTCAAAACAAACCACTGCCAGGTACGTGCAAGGGAGAGTCCTGTGATTAGTCATTTGTTTTAGAAATTTGAGGTGCCGACTCCACAGGTATTGTTGATTGCTTGGTGTTTTTTTGTAGTTGGCGAGGAATGCGGGTGATTTTTTTTCGTAGGAGAAGTAAGAATTGTCGATAAACAAGTGGTTTTAAAGCTGGTCAGTGGGAAAGGATGTCAGTCGCTGTTGTTTAGTTCCGAGACCCCTTTTTTAGGGTTAATTCTTCATAAATGTACGGTGTTGCTGGGTATTTTCTTTCTATGCTGCGTGTTGGTTATATGTTAAGTGTTGAGGTGATAATTCTCAAGCTGAATTCAAGTTTACGTTACACTAAATATGTTTATATGTATAACCACTACTATCTACTTCATTCGTTACTAAAGGTAGTTATATGGCGATAAAATGTACCTTATTTGATTCGAATTGATATAAGATTTTGTATTTGTCACAATGAAAGCCTATAGAAAAGACACCAGAGAGTAATTCCCTTTACTAACTTGAAATTCCGTGGTAATTATCATGCCCTTTCCTACTATTGAGGCCAGTAGTGTGGGGCGCAGGGACTGTTTCTGTAGGAGTCTTCCGAAATATACGAGTTGTTGAGGGTAAGAGGAATCCATAAGTACCAGTAGGATCATGATAGGATGTGCACAAGTATTCCTCTACCTCTCCCCTCCCTTTCCCTCCCCCCCTCTCCTCCTCTCCTTTCCCCCCTCCCCTCCCCCACCCCACTTCCTGTTATTGACATGCATTCACACATACATCTGTCTGTGCATGTATTCGTTCAAATGCACTCTAATTCCTGTCATAATATCCACTAACCTGCTGTCATATGTCAGATTGCATGACATCCTAGGTAGGCCGTATATGATTTGTTCAGAGCTGCTTCCATTATGCCCAATTGCCTTCCAAGTGGAGGTGTTGACAATATGTGATTTATTATGAATGTTGTTGGATGTTGATACTGATAGAGATTAAAATGTGTTCTGACATGTATTAAGATTTTTTTTATTTCCCAGGATGGTAAGTGAAGACAGTAGTGGGAGTAAAGTTATACCCGTGCGGGTGGCCGTCAGGGTGCGGCCTATGCTACCAAAGGAGTTGCGTGAGGGCTGTCAAGAATGTATAGATCTCACACCAGGAGAATCACAGGTATGGATGTAAAGATTAACTCAGCAGTTCTTGAATGAAAATGCTACAACTCTCTGTATTAGACTAGTTATCTATATTTGAAAATCAAAACAGTACAGAGTACAAGAGTATGATAATAGATGATAATTACAGCCAATTTTTTTTTCCCAGGTTGTTATTCGTGGCACAGAGAAAGCATTCACTTATGACTTTGCATTTGCAAGTGATACTTCTCAAGGCTACGTATATGAATCTGCTGTGAAGAAGGTGGTTCAGAATTTATTTAAAGGTAATTGTCTTTCTCAGTTGAGATTTGAAACTGAGTATAAACACCTGTGATTAATTGTTATTACAAAATTATGATAGCTGAAACCTCTTGAATAAGGATAAGACAGCTAAGCCCTTTGAGTGTGAAATATTTGTTATTAAATATGTTTAATTTTGCAGGTTACAATGTGACTGTACTAGCATATGGCCAGACAGGTTCTGGCAAAACACACAGTATGGGAACAGCTTACACACAAGGCATTGAAACAGATGATGAAGCTGGTATCATTCCAAGGGCAGTACGTGATATTTTTGAGGGAGTTTCTGAAAAGAAAAATGCAGATTTTCTTGTTAAAGTTTCTTTTATTGAGGTAAGTTTAATTTTTACTTATACATTTAACTGCATATTTTACTTAACCCAATATCAGTGGGTTTATGTACTGTCCCCTTTAGATTTTGGTGGGTTTTGTTACATACAGATGGCTCCATGTGTGCTCAGCTGGCAAGGAGTCTATCAGTTGGCCCAAGTTATTGATCCAGATTTCCCCATTCCTTGAATTCGTGGGAATGTGTGTCTTTCTTTCCAATACTATTAATATTGACATTGTTATCATTCTTATTAATATTATGATTATTAAATTGTTATTAAAATATTAATAACATCAAAGACATTAAAATAATAGAAGTGAAGGAAAAGGGTAAACAGATGAGATATGTAAGACTAATAGCTGACACCTAAGCACTTATAGAGCCATCTATGTATAAAGACAATAGATAAACTTTTATTACAGTGGGCATGGCATTAGTCTTGCCACCTGCTGACATTGGGTTAAATGTCACAAGAAAAACTTGTAGATGTTTGCTAGAATAGTTCTAGTTATGCTGTTTGTCACAAGCAGGGCAGTATATAAATTTTTTTATTTAGGAATTGTTAGTTTACTGCTTATTAGAAATTTTCAGTTAATATGTTTATGTAATAGCTATTAAGATAGCAAAAATTACAGATAATTGTCATAAGGACAGGAAAAACTACTAGGCAAAAAATGACATCAGAAATGATGAAAATATGTAGCGACAAATATCCCCCACACACCTCTCATGGTAATGTCCAGCCTTAACTTGCCACATGGTGAACCACCTATGTGGTAACCGTGGTTAAACAGTCTTTGTGCCTGTATGTTGAAAAGTTATAACCAGTCATTGGCACTCTTAATTCATGGGGACACTGAAGCCCTAACATGGAAAAAACTGAGTGAGGAGTGGATGACAGTAACATCTCCTTGTGGAAGAAATTTGGCCAAGGGGCTGGTGACAGCCATGTTATGTTGTTGTCAAGTGGTAGGAGACATGGATTGAAATGGCAATAATGCATCTGCAGAAAAAGACCTAAAATCATTTCATAGATATTGTATGTGAGTGTTCATGAGGGCAAGATCTACAAGCCAATTAACCTGCAAAGTTGCCACTCAAGTAAGCCTAATGCCCATATATTAGTCCATATGATAGATGCAAGGCACCTGGATCTAATGGGCTAAAAAGGTACTGATTTTAAATGCATTTCTCACTCCGTTTTCATTACAGTAGACCAGTGTATATATTTACTAAATATACATTCCTGATGTGTGTCATGCATTGTATATTATGTTCACACATACTCAGCTAAGAAAATACCTGGATCGGGTCAGGTTCCTGGGACATAGACCTGGTGAGGATGATACAAAAACTGGATAATATCTGGGGACTGAGTCCCAACTAGGGACATGGTCTCAGAGGTGTGTGGTCACTTCTTAAATAATTACCCAATTGATTGATGATTCCCTGTATTTTCAATGAAGCTTTTATACAGTTTATCTCATTACTGTATTTGCAGCAACTCCCTTTCATTACTCACAGTTAGTGTTCTTGTAACTGATGGGATGTTATTATTTAATAGTGTCTGGTTATTTGTACTTGTGTATTAGAATATATTTTTTTCTTTTTCAGTTGTATAAAGAATCCCTTTTTGATCTCCTGACAAACAAAAACAGAGATGAATGTGTTGTTGACATTCGAGAAGATCCAAGGGGAGGTATAAAGATAGTTGGTCTGACAGAAATCCCTGTGACAACACTAGAAGAGACTATGAGGTGTCTTGAAAGGGTAGGCCAAAATACTTCTTCAAATATTTGAAGTATATAGTTGCAATTTGTGAAGATTTGTGTGAGAAATGTAATATTTTGCAACTTGTATAAGGTTCAGTACAAAAATGGTAAACTTGCATTGATATATATTTTTTCTTTTCTGCAGGGTGCTCAGAACAGAGCTACTGGTGCTACAGCAATGAATGCTCGATCTAGTCGATCCCATGCTATTTTTTCTCTTCATATTGAACAGAAAAATAAAAATGAAAGGTGTTTATAACCTTTATGTGATTTGGATATACTTTGAAATTATTGTGCAAATAATAATTTTAGCATCATTATTTATGAATGATAAAAATTAATATTATATTTCTCTGTATGTGTCTGTATCCATATAAAAAAATGCTTTTCTGAAAGTTTTCATTGTCATTCATACATTTTTGAAAATTTGTGTGCATTTGTATACGAATATCTGTACGTTGCACATGTTGACTTTCTTTTATATATTTGACCTGTTTATAGTATATGCTGTATGTTATTGTGACACAAACATATGTATTTTATTTCCCAGTGAAAGCATTATGTGTGCAAAGTTCCACTTGGTTGACTTGGCTGGCAGCGAACGTGCAAAGAAGACAGGTGCCACAGGAGAGCGGTTCAAAGAGGGTGTCAACATCAATAAAGGCCTCTTAGCTTTAGGGAATGTGATCTCTGCATTATGTGAGGAAGGAAACAGGGGCCATGTGCCATACAGAGACTCAAAACTTACACGATTACTCCAGGGTAAGTGCATCAGTTCCATGTAAAAAGGTTTCATTGATTTAACCACATGCTGCCAGGGAAAAGGCTGTACTCTCTTTTCTTCTTGTTCTTGTTTTTGGAACAACAAGAATGGGTGAGACAGGCAGTACTCGTAATTGGCTCATTGGTGACTTAGTAGAAGTGTAGCAGTTATGTGTCAAATCAATTAATAAAGTAAACTCACAGTGGGCATGGCATATATGTACATGCCATGCCTGTTGGCATTGGGTTAAATATGAAATATTTTTCACCTGAAATTGTGCAAATATATTGAGAGCTGATATCTTTTAATTCAGAAAACCTTGACTTTAAAGTCATTATTGTTATTGGATTTTATCTTGTATTTAAATTAAACTTCTTTTCCTTTATTTCAGATTCCCTTGGTGGTAATTCTCACACTGTGATGCTAGCATGTGTATCCCCAGCAGATAGTAATATGGAAGAAACACTTAGCACATTACGTTATGCTGATCGTGCCAGGAAGATTAAAAACAAACCCATTATCAACCGTGATCCACAGGCTGCAGAAATTGCAAAGTTGAGACAACAGGTATGTCAAAGAGAGATGCTTGTTTTTGAAATATGCAAATGCATTTTGCATTTCCACAATTTACTGTTTTTTCTTGGTAGAGTTGCTATCCTGCTGACACTCAACTGACATAAAGTCCCTGATGTGACAAATATGCTATATTCCATATGGGTCACAGTCACCCTGCAACATAGAAACTGTGCACCTTCTTTTTTCCCAGTCTATGACCAGGGTGCCTTGAGTTTATGATGGTAGATGAATTAGACCACTACTTAGTATATAATTGAAACTTCTCCTTTTTATAGGTTCAGCAACTTCAAGTCCAGCTTCTTGCTTCAAGCAGTAGTGGTGGAGGAGTGTCAGTTACTTCCAGTGATGAGGTAGGTATTCAGTTCAGTTGAGTTTCAGAATTGTTATTACTGTTTTTTGCTGGATGAGTGTATTCCTTCCTCAGTTGTATTTTAAATGTCAAACCTTTCCTTTTTTCCCTAGATGAAAAGGAAAACAAAAGGGTGATGTCTGTGGATTATTTGGAAATGTTAATTAAAGTGGAATAAGAATATGATCCACAAAACAAAATATGGAAAATGATTGGAAATCATGTATTGGTGCTTTTATATTTGGTCTGTTTGATATATTACATTTTTGCCAAATTTGGCCAGATAATACCTTTTATTAGCATAAATGATAGGCCACCATTCGCCTTTTTATTTTTATTTCTGCAAAATGAATAAATTAGTATCTAGATAAAGACATATTATTGTGTAATCAGAGTTGTGATCATGTTTATTAAAGTCCTTTTAATATTTACAGTTAAATGCCCTGCTAAGTCAAAATCGGCTCCTTCAGGAGGAAAATGACAAACTGACTCGTGCTTTGCATTCTGCTCTTGATGAAAATACAAACATGGCAGAAAAGGCTTTACTGGTGAGGCTTTTATTTCCTGGGTTTTGTAGATATTTGTTAAGATGCTCTTTTTATATATTTAAAATTATCTTCACCAGGTTTTAGTAATTCAGCTTTTCAACATTTGCAGGCTGAGATGGCTCGAGATCGCTTGAAAACCAAATTAGAAGAGCTTCGAGCTCAGACAGGTAACACAGTTGAGGTACTTAACAAGACACTAGATGTCACCCTTAACCCACAATATGAAGATCAGCTCAATCTCATAAAGGACTTGCAAAAGAAAGTTGTTGAACTACAGGTATGTCGTCTTGGTTTATTAATTTGATCAGTAAGTAGGTTCATAATAGTAAAAAAAAAAAAAAAAAAAAAAAAAAAATTAATGTACTGAAATTTACTGTTAAAACAGGGTTAGCATCATTTCCATATTTTTGGGAATGTTTACTTTTATTTATTTATTTATGTATTATTATTTATCTTGAGGATAATTAACCATGATTTACCAAGTACTCCGTACATATAATAATAATCCTATATTTACCAATGCCAGAGTGAGCAGCAGAAGGGAGAGAAGGTGATAATGGAACATGAACTGTCCCGACACAACATCTCAACCAACACCTCCATTGCCAAGTCAGATGACACTACCACAACAGATGCTACTACTTCTGAGGATACAGTTACTGATAACTCACCATCAAAGCATTTTGGCACAGAATATACTCTGCGGCAAGCCAAATTAAATGAAGAATTGCAGGTATGTTTTCGGTGTATCACAGCCATGGAAATTTTATTAATTTGATTAAAAACAAACAGCCATAGAAATTGTATTAACTTGATTAAAAACAAATTTGCAGGTGCTACAGTGATTCTTGGAAAAGTGTTTTATTTTCACAATGTAACTTCTTTGGATATTTTCATTCTCAGGACTTGAACAGAGCCCTTGCAATGAAAGAAGAACTTATGAGTAAGATGACAACCAATGATGCACAGATGGTTGCCATGAAGGTTATTCATGAGAAAGAAAAGAAAGATCTGGAATGTCACATTGAACTCCTTGCAAAGGAGAAAGATGAATTGATGCAACAATTGCGTGCTGCATCTCACAATCAAGCCAGTGGCAAGTAAGTGCCTTTATAGTCATTTTCTTGAAAACCTATGTATGTCTGGATATATTCTTGATTTGGTTAGATTTTAAATGGTGAGAGTTTCTACATGCGGGCTTAGTTGTTATTTAAAGAATAAATATGACAAAAATACCAGTGAAATAATGCATTGGAATATCTTACAGGATTGCTGAACAAAGACGCAAGAGAGTTCAGGAGCTTGAGGGCCAGATATCCTCCTTGAAAAAGAAGCAGATGGAAATGACCAAGATGATTCGTCTGAAGGAACAGTCGGAACAAAAAGTATCCAAACTCAACACTGAAATTCAGGTTTGTACATCAAATTTTGTAAATTCACACATTGTCAAGATTTTGTGAGCTTTTTAGAAAGACATTATTTAATTGTAACTCATGATATGCATATCTGCCTGGGATGATTTAGGACCTCTTTGGACTATTTTGATATTACTGTCATTCTTATTTGAGAAAATATGTAAATATTTGGTAAGAAAGTAAGTTTTGTTCTTTTACTAAAGCAGTTTATACCTATCTCAATTACAGGCTATGAAGGCAACCAGGGTGAAGCTGATCCGGCAGATGAAGGAAGACAGTGAAAAGTTCCGTGTATGGAAAGCCCAGAAGGACAAAGAGGTAAAGGTTATTCAGTTATTGTGTGTTCTATGGCTCAGTGGACCAAGGCACCTGAGCACTAATCTAGTGTTTAGGGGTCTGAGGCTCTCTGGTGCCATAAGTGAGTAGGACCCCAACTGTTCTTAGTACACAAGGAGAGATAGTGACTTATAGAGCCTGTAAGTCAAGTCTGTGTCATGTGATATAGGTCCACCATATTTATACATTGGTTATTAGTTTATACTGTAAAATCATTATCCTAATTATTTTAGTTTCTAATTTTGGTCTCACTGATGTTTTTTCTAGATTATAAAAGATGAGAGGAAACGTTCCTTGCCCCATTTTTTATTTTATTTAGTCCAACTAAAACTTCAGATATTCTGTACTCTTCTATTTGTCTTATATTTAATCATTGATTGCTAGTGTCCACTGATTTGGTGACTGATTCTGATTTTAAGATAGTTCTCTTTATATTCATCACAGTAAAATAGACGATCCCTTTATATTGAATGTCTATTTTATTTTTTATTTTTTCTTCTTTTAATAGGTTGCAAAACTCAAAGAAGCTGATCGACGGAAACAGTATCAGATTGTGAAAATGGAGCGCCTTCACTCAAAACAGCAAAATGTTCTAAGGCGTAAAATGGAGGAGGCCATTGCCATTAATAAGAGACTAAAGGTACTCGATCTTTTATCATTGGTGTGTTCTGTTCAGTGAAGTTTCTTTAACAAAACCACTTACAGATTACATTAAATCTTGATTACTGTGAATTGTTTTAAGTTGATATTACTCCTAAGTGATTTTATCTTTTGGTATTGCCAGGATGCAATGGCACTCCAGAAGGCAGGTGCTGAGAAGAGAGCAGCTACACGCGAAAATGCTGGCGTTGGAAATCGTGTAAAGTGTGTATTGAAGTATTTTAGCTGCTTTATTTGTAAACTAGTTAAACTTTTTTTTTTTTTTATAAATTAGTCATAGTTCAACTTTGATATATATTTTTTTAACAAATTAGTTTCCAGATAGGAAAGTAATTCATAGTAATAGTTGCTAGATTAAGTTTGACAAGACTTTGTATTGAGAATTTTGTCTCAGATACATATATCTGCACTAAGACTGATAGTTGGCTACAAATAACTGACTTTTTGTACAACAGGACATGGTTGGAAGGTGAATTAGAAGTTGTAACAGTGAAGAAGCAGGCAAAGCAGTCACTTGAAAACTTGATGGATGACAGAAAGACCATTTCAGACCAAATCAACAAGGCTAAGGTAGATGTTATATGCATGGTTATTATTGTTTCTACTACATGTGTGTTGAAGATATTTAAGTATATTCTTGGGTATAAATGCACAAAATAACATTAGTTGCTCATAATTTTCCATTTGTCTTTAGCGCCAGCTGAGAAATGGTCAGTTGACTGAAGATCTAACGACTGAACTAGAGACAAAAATTAAAAATCTTGAGAATGACCTTCAACTGCGTACTGCACAGATTAATGACCTCCAGTCAAAGATTATGGATGGTGATGAAGGTAAATTTTTATATATTTCTTATGAATTCATTATTACTTAACCCCGTGCATGGGTTATGTCTCTATGTACTATCTGCTCTTAATTTTGTTGCACACAAATGGATACACAAATACTTGCACCAAGCAGTTAATTAGTAGCCCTACGTGGCCACTAATTCCCTATTCCTTGAATATTCAGGAAGATAGACTTATTATCTGATGGTGTTAAAATTGATACAGTTATCATTATTGACTTTATTTTTATTATAATGGTATTAAAATGATGATGAAAAAAAAAAAAAATTCTTTAAAAAAATGAAGGAAAAGGATAAACAGGTGGGATAGGTAGGACTAGTAATTAACTGCTAAGCCCCTTGTGGAGCCATCTATAAGTAAACACAATCAATAAGCTAAAGGCACAGTGGGTAGAGCACAAAGTGTTAAGGAGTATAGTATGTTTGCTTTGTCTATATAATGCTATGTTAGACTGTACTTATCAAAAATATTTGATGGCCCATCCACTTTTCAGAGAGATTGAGTTACATATATTCTTAGCCTATATAAATTATCATAAGAGTTTCTGCAGCAAAAAATAGTGTTCTTCTTTTCTTTTTTCCTTTTTCTTTTTTATTTCCTTTCCTCCTCTCCTCCACTTTCTAATGTTGCATGGTGGGCAAGTGAACATTGCAACTACATCATTGTCAAGCACAGTAAAAAGATGTCTTAGAGCCTAACAGACACATTTGAATTAGTATTAATTAATAAACATACAATATGTATACTACCATTACCAGATGTTGTTATTGCTTTTTAATTCCTTTTTAGATACAGCTAGCCGGAAAAGATTTGACTCAATGCAAAGCATGGTGGAGGCAAAGTGTGCGCTCAATTATCTCTTTGAAGTGGCAGCCAATGGGCAAGTGAACACAGCTGCTCGTGAAGCTGACTTAAAGGATCTCCAGGTAAATTATATTGATTGAAAACTTTTGCAGAAAGCTACATTAAAGAAAGACTTCAAGTCAACGCATTCTTTTAACTCATTTTATTAATAATGTCTGGTTTACTTTCTTTAGAGCCAGTATGAAGAAGTTGCTCAATCCCTTGATGATATGGAAGGAGAGCTGAAGACACTGAAGGAGTCTCACCAGGCTGAACTTACTCGTATCTCAAGAGAACATGAAGATAAGGTGCTCTTCTTGCTGAGACAAATGCCAAAGGCTGAGGTATGATGACGATTATGATTTGTTTATTTGTTTATTTTATTTTATTTTTTATATATTATTATTATTTTACGTATCTTAGTGCCTTAGAATGAGAAGATGGTGTATAGATTGTGGATGTCTTCCATACCGTGACATTTGTGTCAAATACAAAACTTGTTGATATGTGAGGTTACAAAATAATTTCTTGATTATTAGCAGGATGAGAGAGAAACAGACAGTGATGAGAATAGTGAACAAAGTAAGGATAGTGTACTTATGGAAAGACTGAAGTTCCAAGAGGCTGAAATTGCCCGCCTGTCTGAGCTGTATGAAGAATTACAGGCAAAGAGACAAGAATGTGAGGAACTCAAGAAGCAGCTTACAGTCTCTGCTGTCACTCAAGGCAATCGGGTAAGGAAACCTTTACATATCCACAGATTCCACATTGTACTATTTAAATAACTGTGTGCACTTAAAAGGTGATTTATGTCAAAACTACTCATCAGATTGAATTCTTTTGTTGATAAGGATGATGCAAGGATAATAAAGACTGGGTTTTGACAAGGGAAAATGAAACTGGCCATCACTTTCAAATTTCTAGATTTTCCATGACAGTTAACCCCAGTCATTTCTCTCCTATTGTGTCCTCTAACTTTCACTCAGTTTTGCTGTCTGTTTGAGGCCTTTTCTGCCTTGTGTCAAGATTAATTGCAAGAATTTCAATAATGGCAGTAAAAAGATTGGGCTTCTAAGTTATTTCATTAATGAACAATAGGGACTGCATCAAATATTGTTATCAGGGTGATAGTACATGATATTATTTCTGGACTAGATATTCCTTGTAAGTTTGTAATAAAATTCTAGATAGGCAGAAAATGCATACAGGTAGTAGAAGATATTTAATATTTTTTATCCGTGCTTTTCTATGCAGGTATCGCTTATGCCTAACATTAACTTAAGTGACCGACGGCGCACATTTGTCAAACCTGGTCCGGTAAAGAAACAACCCACAGTTGAAGTTTTGAGTGAATCAGAGGAGGAAGATGATGATGATAAAGAGGAGAAGAATGATCCAGATTGGCGCAAAACTCCACTGTATAAGAGGATAAAACAGATGACGGTTAGTTGAATTAGTCATTCTTTAATTTTTTTTAAAAGTGCCATGTTAACAAGCATTGTATGAATTAGAAACTCTATTTATGTTTCATGATAGATTTTATATAAATTTTATTACATTCCTTTTAGGGCAAAAGAAATACTTGTGATGAAGAGGACGAGGAACAGGAAAATGACAATGGGAGAAAGAGGAAGAGTGGTTCCAAGCGGGATTCTTCAGGAGACGTCAGATGTGGATGCAAGGGAGATTGTTCAAAGAAGCTGTGTGCTTGTCGCAAAGGCTTGAATGCATGCAGTTTGAAATGCAAATGCAATATACTTAAATGCAAAAACAGATCTACCCCAGATTCAAGCCTGTCAGAAGTAAGTAAATGATTTGGGCATTATGATACAAAGTATTGGATTAATTTTTTTTGCTTTAGGGCATCTATGCCAAAGCCTATGGTATTCTCAATTTTTCAAAAGTATCCTGTTCCACCTATTAGACATCCTCTTGGAATTTCCTACCTTTTTCTTTGACATCTTGTTCTCCTTCCTCAGATGTATAAATCTCCTCCTCTTGATCTATTTGCCTCCTTACCCTTAACTACTTCCCCTTTTAACACCACTTACTTCATACTATACCCTCATCAGCTGTTCAACCTCTTAACCTACACCCTAATTGTTTATATATTTCAGTCTGTCTTAAGTGATTATATAACCATTCCCTTGAACATCCCGACCATATACATCATTTCTACCTTTTCTTTTTTTTTTGTTTGCCTCTATACTTTATCATAGTACTACATGATCTTGATGCCTAACACATTTATGTTTTATTTATTTATTTATTTATTTATTTATTATTACTATTATTGGTATTATTATTATTATTATTATTATTATTACTTTTTTTACCTATATTTTGTTTTTGAGAATAAATCAGGGCTACATTAAGCATCTTTGCAGCAGCTTACTGTTATAAATTTAGTATGTATAACTATATGTATTACCTGTTTCAGACAAGCAAGAATGATACTCTTCTCAATTCCACCTTTGAAGTAGGAAGTGTTCCCCTCTCTGAAAATTCTTCAAACAAAAGACCAAGGTAGGCCACTTAGTATTTGAATATATTTTGTTTGTAAATGAGGTATGAATACAAGTTTATATAGTTCAATTTAGAGAGACAGTAAATTAAAGATTGAAATGTGTATGCTATCTCTCACTGTCCTCCTTTGTTTGTTACTTAATTAATTATACTTTTTGCCATAATTATTATGACTTAGCAATTTTATTTAGGTTTGCAGTTGCTCTTAGGAAGAAATTGGAGAAATTAAAGATGTAAATGAATTTGAAATTGAAATTTTTTCTCAAATTATATCTGTATGATAATAAAAAAGATAATTAGAATTAGGCATAGAATAGATTGAATGTACAGCATTTATAGGAAAACGAGGATGCCTTGATTTGGTATTATAATCATTCTAATTCTCTTTACAGACTCTTAGGATTAAGTTCCTCTTACAATGATAGTTCCTCTCAGTCGGATGATGATGCCCCAGGAGGACTGATGAGCATTAGAACCAAGATGGACTTCATGAATTCACCATCCTTGTTTTGAGGAATATTCCCATCTTCTATGACTGTATAATTTATTTTAGACATTTCAAGTATGTTTGTATAGGTGTCATGATGGGAGAGTATCAGAGAATAATGTGTGATTGGTTTGATATGAATGCAAGAGGATAGGTCACAGCTTATGAATAGTTCTTACATTATGGATGGAATTGCTTGTTTTATACATTTGATAAGAATTGGCTTGTCTGTTCTGGGTCCAGTTCATAACCAGATTGTTAAAAGTTATTCATTTTAACTCATGCTCTTGTTCGGAAGATCTTTTGCAATTGCCTGATTTAAAACTATGTATTGGACAGCCATTTGTATTTCTTGAGCATTTCTATGTGTAACCCTCTGTAATTTATATTTTTACATATGCTTCCTTTTATAATCTGTTTTCTTTATTTTAAATACACAGACTAGTGTTGTATAATATCTTGATATTGTGTTTTATCTCTAAACATTGTCCTAAATTAGGATACTTTGGTGGTGATTGTAGATAAAAGAAAAATAAAACAGTCATCTCTGTGGAAAAGCTTTCATTTTATGAATTCTGATGCAGAAACAAAAACATTTTGTTTATCTAACTGATTTCAGGCAAATATTTGCAGAACAATTTTTGCATATTAATTCATGAATATTATTTTTGCCTTTATTAACTTATTATTATTATTATTATTATTATTAATATTATTATTATTATTATTATTATTATTATTATTATTATTATTATTATTAATATTATTGTTATTATTATTAATATTATTATTATTATTATTATATTATTATTATTATTATTATTATTAATATTATTATTATTATTAATATTATTATTATTATTATTAATATTATTATTATTATATTATTATTATTATTATTATTATTATTATATTATTATTATTATTATTATTATTAATATTATTATTATTATTATTATTATTATTATTATTATTATTATTATTATATTATTATTATTATTAATATTATTATTATTATTATTATTATTATTATTATTAATATTATTATTATTATTATTATTATTATTATTAATATTATTATTATTATTATTAATATTATTATTATTATTAATATTATTATTATTATTATTATTATTATTATTATTATTATATTATTATTATTATTATTATTATTATTATTATATTATTATTATTATTAATATTATTATTATTATTAATATTATTATTATTATTATTATTATTAATATTATTATTATTATTAATATTATTATTATTATATTATTATTATTATTATTAATATTATTATTATTATTATTATATTATTATTATTATTATTATTATTATTATTATTATTATTATTAATATTATTATTATTATTATTATTATTATTATTAATATTATTATTATTATTATTATTATTAATATTATTATTATTATTATTAATATTATTATTATTATTAATATTATTATTATTAATATTATTATTATTATTATTATTATTATTAATATTATTATTATTATTAATATTATTATTATTATTATTAATATTATTATTATTATTATTATTAATATTATTATTATTATATTATTATTATTATTATTATTATTATTATTATTAATATTATTATTATTATTATTATATTATTATTATTATTATTAATATTATTATTATTATTATTAATATTATTATTATTATTAATATTATTATTATTATATTATTATTATTATTATTATTATTAATATTATTATTATTATTATTAATATTATTATTATTATTATTAATATTATTATTATTATTATTAATATTATTATTATTATTATATTATTATTATTATTATTAATATTATTATTATTATTATTATTAATATTATTATTATTATTATTAATATTATTATTATTATTATTATTAATATTATTATTATTATTATTATTATTATATTATTATTATTATTAATATTATTATTATTATTATTATTATTATTAATATTATTATTATTATATTATTATTATTATTAATATTATTATTATTATATTATTATTATTATTATTATTATTATATTATTATTATTATTAATATTATTATTATTATTAATATTATTATTATTATTATTATTAATATTATTATTATTATTAATATTATTATTATTATTAATATTATTATTATTATTATTATTATTATTATTATTATTATTATTAATATTATTATTATTATTAATATTATTATTATTATTATTATTATTATTAATATTATTATTATTATTATTATTAATATTATTATTATTATTATTATTATTATTATTATATTATTATTATTATTATTATTAATATTATTATTATTATTATTATATTATTATTATTATTATTATTATTATTATTATTATATTATTATTATTATTATTATTATTATTAATATTATTATTATTATACTATTATTATTATTATTAATATTATTATTATTATTATATTATTATTATTATTATTATTATTATTATTATTATTATTATTATTATTATTATTATTATTATTATTATTATTATTATTATTATTATTATTATTATAAAAATAGTAATAATAATTATTAATATTATTATTATTATTATTAATATTATTATTATTATTATAATTATTATTATTAATATTATAATTATTATTATTATTATTATTATTATTATTATTATTATATTATTATTATTATTATTATTATTATTATTAATATTATTATTATTATATTATTATTATTATTATTATTATTATTAATATTATTATTATTATTATATTATTACAGATAAAAACTTGGCCTCACTCTACCAGAGGCCAGACAGGAAGCAAGCTGATGAGATTTTTCAATCACTCCTCACTCTACTCATATCCCCTTTATCCAAGTCTCTATATTTTCCTCAAACCACTACCCCTACTCCTCAACTTCTTTAATCTCTCAGTCAAATCCTTTTACCTTTTCAATCCAGATACTCCAATATCCACAACTCTCCCTATGTCTCTTCCTACTCCTCACCTTATGTATCACACCAACTAATCCAAAGATTCCATCCCATTTTCTCCTCCACATTCCTTCCACATCTACTGCACATCATCTACTCCTCAGATGCCTATCTCCTCTTAACCTTATAAAAAAATTTTTTTTTCCCAAATCTCCCCACTCAAATCCCCAACAGAAACCTATGAAGTAAGGACATTAGTAACTTCCTAAGCATGACCCAAGAGAAAGGTCCTCTCTGATCCATCCTCCAATTTCTCTGCCTCACTTTTAAACCACTGTCTCTTGCACAGTTATGCACATCTGTCTTTGCCATTGGGTCACAGTTGTTTCATTTTACTTTTCTCCTTCTCTCCCCATTGACTAATTCCTTTCAAACTTCAACCACCATTCCTCATAGTCGGTGATTTCAATTGTTGCCACATTCTTTGGGGTGACTCTATCACTACTTCCCTTCTTCTAACACGGACACTATCTCTCTTAATTCAGACCACCCCACTCAAATTGACATGCACACCCAAACCTTTTCATGCCTGAACATTTCTCTTTGCTTACCTTCCCTTTATCTTGACTTTCATTGTCCCATACTGGTGCTTTGATGGAGCAGGATGGCATACTTTTACCCCTCTCTCTACTCTCCCTCATCCTTTTCTTTTACATCTTATATGATAGTCACTGTCTTGAGTGCTGACTTCACATCTTTTCTCTGAACTTTCTGGCCATACACATTTAAATGTATTCCATGGTGGAACACTGAATGCTCCAAAGCCTTCAATTGAAGTATGTGGCATGAAGTACTTATTGCTACAAGTGAAATACCCTCAGCTAAATGTCAGCCCTTATCAGTTTTAAAAGAACATCAGCTCAACTACGCCACACAATCTGAATCAAAGTCTAGTGCTGTTTAACTCTATAAATTTACCCTAATCATAAACTCATTCCTAGCTTGTTTCGCAACTATACTACAGTGCTATGTGACCATGATGTCTAGCACATTTATTTTTTTTATCCATTCACCATTATCTTTATCATTACTACTTCTACAACTACTATGATTATTGTGGTCAATTATTATAATTATTTTATATTCATTCGGTACTTTTATTGATTCAATATATTTGGGAAGATTTTTTTTTATTCACTGAAAAGTGTGCATGAATGAATACAATAAAACTGACCCAGTCAGTATAGAGTCAGCCTTTTATTTTGTTCACATTATATGAATATGCAATAAGGAAATGCCTAATTTGATAACAGCTGGTAAATGTATTACTGGATGAAACTGACTATTAGTAAGTAATCAGTCATAAGAAAAGAAAAAGAAAGGAAATGCAGCTAAAAACCTATGTTGTCTACATACCCCATAAAATTTGTTTATGTTAGTTAATGCTATGGTGGTCATGCATTTTCGTTTCAGAGGCTGAAAACTAGAGATGAGATCTAAAGTGTAATTATACAAATTTCATTTGATTCAGCCTAAGATCAACTTGGATGTCAAATGTCCATGATTTTTCTATTTTTAGTTAAATATCAAAGTTTCCCCTTTAAAGTAGGTTTTCATTTTTGTACAGAAAACCTGTAATGGGTAACTACAATATCAATAATCCTTAATAATTTGTTCACGATTTGTTTGTTTTGTATGCCACTTGCACGCAAAAGTGTATATATAATTACAATAAATTTTATATGAACGTTCCAAACTAATGTCTTTCATCACTTGGTAAAAGAACAAAAAAAAAATCTTATAAGCGCAATGAAGACATTCTTGCTAAATGCTATTGGATGACCCTACGAATCCAGTGTCCGTTATTGTCACAAGGGGGATTAGGAGACGGAGACAGGCTCTACGTTGGGAATCTCCCCTGCCTTGGCCACAGCCCTCGGCGGATCCAAAATATCGCGGTCTTTACCTCTTCCTCTTTCCTCCCCCTCGTCCCATGCTTAGGAGACGGGGCCTGGAACCTAGTGCTGGGAATCATCTCTGCCTTGGGCCTCAGCCCTCGACTCAACTAATTTTGCAGTCTTCTTCCCTTTTCCGTTTCTTTCTATTCTCCAATACCTTCTACTATCCACTTCCTAAGGTGTAAGAGTCGTGTTGAAAAGATGAAAGGCTAACTTTATGCCAGTCATGAACAGCTTGGGGAGCCATGGGTATGGTATTCCCCTGTTTAGTTGTCTAGCACTTAACTAGCCCCACAGTCCAGGCGAAACCATCACCCCAGGTCATTACTCAAGCTCCAAAAAACATCCTCTACATCATCTCCTCCACCCTCAAAGGTTTCTTCATTTACTACTCCCTCCTCCTTATTATTATTCTGCAGGCTTTATTGTCCACCTCTCAACACTACCCCCTCATCCACACGTCCCCGTCCTTCAACTTCCCCCACCCCTACAAATCTTCTGAATATTCTGTTCATCCCAGCCAAATGGGATCGACCACCCTCATCCCTCCCCCAATACCGGTAACGGAACTGTCTCCATCTCCCTGACAATTTGCCCTGGCAGATTATGAAGACCTACTTGCCTGCCTCGTGGAATGATTCAATATCAGTGC